AAGGTAAGATGTGATCATATGACATTCCATTTGACCAATTTGTTTGGGTCAATTGCATCTACCTCCCCAAGGTTTGGTCAAACTTCCAAATGACCCTCAAGATTTGTAGAAATTACTAATAAGTACCTTAACCAATCGGATTTTCAGTAAATGATACTGAAAGATGATAAATATGATGGTATTGGTAGAAGTAGAGTTTTGGACTAAATACCATCTTTATTTTCCTCATAGATTTTTAACATTTTAAAAAAAGATTTAATAGATAAATGGATTAAATTTACTAGCTCCAGTCTGAATACGAGTAATTCATGGTGAGCTCATGATTTTATAATCTTTCAATGTTTAAAAAGGTCTTTTTGCAGAAATGCAACTAATCAAGGGACATAGTTGTAATTCTTAAAAACCAAGAGGGCCATTTTGTAATTTGATGAAATCTTGGGGGGGGGCTACTACCCATTTGATAGAGACCGTTCAGCTAAAGGTCGATGCCCTTTGCTGTGCAAAAACTGATCTCCAGGTATCTTTGTAAAAGAAAGTGATGTGGCAGCTTTTACCATCAATACAGTGGATGATCCGCGAACTTTGAACAAAGTGATATACCTTAGACCTGCAGGAAATGTCTGTTCTATGAACGAGTTGGTTGAGGTATGGGAGTCAAAGATTGATAAGAAACTGGAGAAGGAATATGTATCAGAAGAGGAACTCCTATTAAAAATAAGAGGTGTGTCAATTGTTTGTATTACCTCCTCCACTACTTTGTTTAAAGTGCACAAAATGAAGTTTTTTTGCAAAGATAGGATTGAGCTTAATGTAAGCTCAGAATATACTTTGAGAGTGAATTTGTTGTTTAATTTCAGAAACTCCCTACCCAGACAATATGGAGATGGTTTTCATATACTCTGCATTTGTCAAAGGTGACCAGACCTATTTTGATGTTGAAACGGCTGGTGGATTGGAAGGGACACAACTATATCCCCATATAAAATATACCACCATAAGTGAGTTTCTTGATATGCTGTTGTGAAATTATATATAAATTTTGCACTTCTCTTTGTGCTATGATTGCATAAATATCATCAGTCTTTGTATGACCAATATTTAAGTATATGATGATGTCTTAATAATCTTCACTTTAGAGGGGCATTGGTTGTTTACTTATTTTGAGTTCACAATTGTTTAGGATTAGTATGTAGCCCCAAGTTTCCCTATAATAATACAAGTAATTTTCTAGCCATGTGAGCGTCGTAATACACTTTCCCTTCGACTGCAAGGGAAAGTGAAGTAGTTTTAACACATCTCTAATCCCTTCCCATCTGGCAAAAATATGTGTTTCTTATGATTGAAAATAAATGATGGAAAGAGATTCAGTTTTAGAATCTTTTCCATGTAATATATATCAGCTCAATTCACTGCTGCACACACTAGCTCTTCTTTTCTCCCAGAATCCCAGTTACATTACCGGATTGGGTTGTTCTTCATAGAAAAACTCAAAAAGTGACATAAATGTTACCTCTACATTTTTGGAAGTAAAAAATATGACTAGTTTTTGTTTTTCAAAAAAAATGTGATTAACCTTTGTTTAACTTCATCTCCCTCTGATCCCTATCCAATTGCCCACCCGCACCCCTGCTTCATTGGCAACTTCTACAACTATTGCCGGTGACTGTCAAAAAAAGTTTGCTGGATTTTTTTTCTCTTTTCTTTATTTTTTAAAAATTCATTAGAAAGAGTCACAGACAGTCAGATATGGCACCAATTTATAACACATAAAATCACTATTATTTTTACAATATGCGCCCTGTTTGGGACACCATACCCTCCATAAATATTGGACCAAATTGTAATTGCGAAGGTTGGTAGCCGCAGTAGACTGTAGTCTCTAGCAACAGCAACAGTTCAGTGACAGTTCGGAGTGAACGATGAGAGTGAAAGTGAAGTTTTTTTTAGATAATTTAGTTTCATTTTGATCATTTTTTAGAAATTACAGTACCAGTCTCATTCTGACTAATAAGTAATAACCATGTTTTAGTCATTCTTTAAAGTATTTTAAGACGGAGTATTATGCATTTATAGCATAATACGTACTGTGCTAGTATTGTGAGTGACTAGTTATATTTTTCTTACAATTACTTGAGTAATACTTTGGAAAAACCTCTAACTTTAATGACCATATTTTAAACAAAAGTAATCAAAATAATTAATAGCATGCACAAACAATTTTAATTTCACTTAGATGATTAATCAGCAACTGTTAATGGAATTACAAAAAAATCTTAACATGGATAAAATTTGCTACTTCTGTTTTACCGAGGAGGAATAAGTGACACATTAGTCTCCTTGTAAAATTAGCCCTTTTTATGCTATACAGCTTATTATCAAATGTCCGTTCTGAGCTATCCAAAATTTTATCATCTCTCCTCACTGTTACCCTCTGTCCAATTGTCCATTATTGGTAAGTGATTTTTAAGAATGCGGTGAAATGTTTTTTTTTTTTAATTTTGTTTAGGGAAATGTACATTTTAATTTAAAGTTTTCCTTCAAGGCTTCTTTTGTTTTCAGGGAAAAGTTTTTCAGAAAAAATAAACAATTTTGGGTATATAACACCAATTATACTGTTTCACCCACAAAAAAGTATGAAACTATATGAAGAAAATAAGATTGTTTATTAAGGGTTGTAATTATTCAAGATTGTTTATGAAAGGTTAGGAGTTTTTGTCACTTCCGGTCTCTCGACTATTGTGTTAATGTCACTTTTGGTAATCCACTTTCAATGACACTACTCGTGAACTATTGTGTGAGAGTAGGGGTGGCAGCGGGTCGGATTTTTACCGGGTGGAGGCCCATCCACGTCCACCCGTTAATTTTTTATACTCCACCCACCCGTCCATCATCCATTAAAAATTACATCCACATCCAACCCATCCATCTTGAACGGATTATCGGGTGGATCGGGTGAGTAGCGGGTGAAGTATAAATGTTCAAACTTGAAACAAAATAAATAAATTACAAAGAGATATCATGACAATTAAGAACCAAAAATTAAGAATTCATTGTAAAATAACAACAAAAACATGAGCAATTAAGTATATTACAATCATTAATTCACTGCCAATGATAAAGAAAAAAACTGAATGTTAAACAAAATAGACATAAAACTTCTTCAAGTTGTTAAATTCTGCATTTATGCATCGGCACAAAACTATTTTTGCTATTTAACTGCCACTTCTTGAAGCTCTCCAATTATCTTTGTTTCACCAATTAACTATTATTATTATTATTATTATTATTATTATATATTATTAAATAGATAGAATATATATTATATATTATATATTATATAATTATATGCGGGTCAGCGGGTGGGTGGATGGAACGGGTGACGGGTCGGGTGATGGGTTGGATGAGCCTTCATCCACACCCGATCCACCCCGTCTTTCGATCCACCCGTCATCCATTTTTCATCCATACTTCTTCGGGTTTTCATCCATATTTTCGGTTCGGGTTGACCGGGTATCCGCGGGTGCGGGTGATATTGCCAGCCCTATGTGAGAGACACTTTTAGTTATTGACTTTAGAGTTTCCTACATTTAGTCCCCGAGTATCAAATTAACACTTTTAGTCCTTCCACTATGTGTGGAGAATTAAAAGTGTCACTATTATAATAATTGAAGGATTAAAGGTGTCAATTTTATGAAAGTTGAATGACTAAATGTTGAAATTCTCAAATTTGGGTTCCAAAAGTTTCTTTCGCACAATAGTTGAAGGATTAAAAATGAAAAAAAAAATCAAAATCGAGTACTAAAAGTGTAGTGACATTAGTCGGAGGACAAAAAGTGGCAAAAAGCTCTGAAGGGTTATAATTGTATGTCATTGCTCATTTATTAATAAGTAAAATATATTTATCCTTATTAATATTTGAATGGTGCATACGTGGTATAAAAGAGATAGACACATAAAAATTAATAAGCAAAACATCATCTCCTTATTTGAACAGTTTTAATGTTTTTGATAAGTTTTTTTTTGACAAATTCAAATACAAAATTAGATGCACACATTGTGAAAAGAATGAAAGAGAAACGATATGAATTTATTCTTTTGTGTCTATCTCCCCCATGTCATATATGCACCGTGTACAATGTAAGGCTCAAGCTGAATCCAACTTAATTTTTTTTGTTTCCTTACATCCATATTTTTATAGTTAATGAACAAGCATGTTCAACCTTAGCGAGTTTTTTTTTTCTCTGAAAGAAACTTAGCGAGTTTGTTAAACAACGTATCATTGACAAATCATCAAATGAATAGGTTAAGATTGATTATCACATTCTTGTATGATAATACACATTTCAAAAGTTACATATTAGCTCTAACTCTACTTGTAGATAATGTCTTGAAGTCTTGAACTATAAAACTTATCAAATTAAGGATTTTCCACTAGAATGTGTCATTTCCGCCAAAATGCGCATAAGTAAAGTTGCCCTCCATAAAATTTTCAACTGAAACACAGAAACAGTACTTTCCAATGAAAAGTTATTACAATAAAAAAATCATTAGTTACAAGATGGGATTTGATAATGAATTATGTTACAACAGTAAAAGACACAAAGCATAAGTTAGATTTCTAAGTCTATAATTTCCTCTATATTTTATAACGAAAAAAATATATAATCATATTTATAAAAACGTGTACCTTTTTTAAGACAGTAAAAAAAAACTTGTGCCTTTTCTAATGTTCATAGTGATGTTATTATGACTTTTTACCAAAAGAAAAGGAAAAACACGACTAACCTAGATATAATCATATAACAAATTATAGAAAACAAAGAGAAAGTCAATTTTTCCTTACATCTTTACCGCCTCTTTATTATTTGTTCATATTACCTCGTTTAAAATTATTAATCCCACCGTACCACCTCCCCACCTTTTTTCAGATTCTAACCCTATCCTGGAAAGTAATATTAATGATTACTTTCCTTCATTTACCCCATTAATCAATTCTTGTGTTTGGATCTTGGAAGAATGCAAAAATAATACTCCTACTAGTAAATAATACGAGTAACACTAACAATAAAAGGAGAATGAGAATGAAACTTGATGCTGAGCTTTCTAGCTATCACAATCAAAAGCTTTTACAACCACAGCTAAATAGCCATCTTATGTATTATTAATGATCTGAATGAAAATTGGATTTATCTTACATACTCTTGAACAGTTCTACATTAATTCTTTTTTTTTTGGGACACTTTTGTTTGATCTGCTTCAGATGTGCTTCTCTTCAGTCTTCATAAACTTGCAGAAAATATCTTGTTGTGAGTCTTTACTGGAACATAGTTTTACCAAGAACCTTTCTCTGCTCTGCTCATGTTATTATATGACAGTTCCATCAGGAATAGTTGCCTTCTCCATTATAATAGTAATCCCTGACCTAATGTAGAAACCTGCATCTGGCCTGTCTGCCTCTTGGACACCCTGAGTTAATATCAAATTCACAAAATTTTGTGATCAAATTTGAAAAACAAACAAACCTCTTCACAATGATAAAAAAAATATTAGCTCACATCTTTATTCAGGATGACAACATCTTTCCCAATCCTTGCGTTCTTGTCAATGATAGCATTCCTGTGAATTTGAGGAATTGTTCTTAGATTTTGCAGTACAAGCACATATACATTTCTGAATTTATATTAGATGTATATTTACCTAATTTTTGTGTTTTCTCCAATTCCAATTGGCACCTTTCCCTCGGCTAGAAGGGAGGCAATTTCAGATTCTGTTTCATAGTAATCTGCTCCCATCATTAAAGTATCCTGTTTGAACCAAAAAGAAAAGTAAGAACAATCTTCATACGAATAAAAATTCATGGTTCACTAATTTTAGGCTTGTGATATAGCAGTAGTTGACCCCTTATACTTGTACACCGGTTAGATCTTTTATATTTTATCAAGATGATATTTAGACTTGGAATTCTATCTTAAGATATATAAGAGGAGTAGCTCAAAGCATTTGAGAATATATATTTGTGTTTGGCCAATGTGGAATGGCTTAGCAGATTATTTCCCATTGCAGAAAATAAGAACACTGACCTTCAATTCAACACCACCATCTAACCGTGAACGTTCACCAACAATGGAGTGCTCCACAGCGCACTCTCGTAAGAAACACCCATGAGAAACTATTGCATCCTTGATCTAAATATAAAATAAAATCTGTTCTTAGATTCAACCAATCTGGATGCATTATTATAAATAGTGACGTCATTTTAGCAGATTACCGTGCAGTTGTCAATTTTGGTTGGTGGTAGAAATCGCGGGGATGTATAGAAAGGCGTCTTTGGATCATAGAACTGAAACTTTGGCGACTACAACAGAGAAAGTACCAAAGTTAATATGACAGAAAAGAACTAAAGAATTAAATACTGGAAAAGTGCAGAAAAGAATATTTAACAAAGACCTCTTCAGTTAGGGCCAAGTTAGCATCATAGAATGATTTTATTGTCCCAATATCCTCCCAGTAGTCTCTGAATACATAAGCCTGTAAAGACAGTTTTATCAAGTTAATAATACAAAGTGGGGAGTATACATAATGCAGGAAACAAAAGTTAAATAACCATACTTGGACATTGTGATCCATCACAGCAGCGGGGAGAATCTCGGATCCAAAGTCATTGGATGTGGGATATCTCCACTTCAACAGCCTCAAAAGGACATCTCTCCTAAAGACATAAACTCCCATTGAAGCTATATAAGGATTAACTTTGGCTTCTTGAGGTGACAACCCCAAGAAAGTAGTGTCTACTTGCTGCCATACAAAAAGAAATAGTTATCAGCTTAATAGAAATTCTAAGTGTTCAAGCTGGGATATTATGACCCAATTTTCCTACCATGGCTTTCAGATCAGCTCTCTTGGGTTTCTCAGAAAACTGGACTACTTTGCCCCATCGATCAATTTTCACCAGCCCAAAATCTGATGCTCGGCTGCAAAGTAAATCAATTTCAGAAATGATAAAACTCATAATTGAATCACTTAAATGCTTAATAAGGTCATAATGCAGATTGCAAAATCAATCATTCTAAAGGATTGAATCCAATTGATCAGTGAGTCTAATCCCAGACTTTATAAATTCACTTGTTTCTCCTTTATAACCCGATGTAGGTCTTTCAGAGCTGACTAGTGACTACTCTTTAAATATCTACATAATAGAAAAGTATAATGAAGACAGTAAATCCTCATTTGGAAAGTTTTATACCTCTCTCCTGCTGCAGCACACGAAATAGTAATATCAGAATTGCGATCAATATGATTCTGTTTGACAGTTTAACAAATCCAGTGTTAAATATTTTCATTATTGAATAGGAAATGCCAAATAAAATAATTTTAATATAGACACACCTGCACCAAGTCCATGTAATCCATGCGATAGAGTTGATCGCCTGACAGAATGACTATATTATCGACGTCCTTGTTCTTAGCATCCTGCAATTAAAATCATAAAAATGTCCAATTCAATTACTTAACAGAAAAGTGGATTATCAGACTCATAAAGTTTGAATGAAGCTTACCTCAAATACCCATGTAAATTGTCTAACAGCATCTGCTGTTCCTTTAAACCACTCCATTCCAGTTTCTCCTTGTGTTTGGGTTGCAGCCAACACCTATTTACAGGTACAGATAATATTACCAATGCAATTTATGATAGCACTAGAGTCAAACCAAACTAAAAGATCGAATTCAATTGATTAACTAGTTCAACTCAAAGACTTATTAATCCAACATTGTCTATTTATCATTCCTATTTGGGATTCAAACAAGCATGATACTTGGTTTTGGTCTATTATATAAGTGCAATGTAAACATCAAAGAATTTTCTGGGATGAATCAGACCCAATTTTACAATTTCTTCACTTTTTAAAAAATCTTGTTATATATAGCTAACAACTGTGTGGCACAGATATTAATAAGAATGCAGTTTGGAAGCCAAAGAAATAACTAAACCTCAACAAAACCCTCTCCAAAGTTCACACCATTGCCAAAGTAGGTGCGGGAAATGTGACGGTTTAGAGAAGCAGAATTGAACTGAGTCAGCACAAAGATCTTGTTAACTCCGCTGTTGATGCAATTGCTCATTGGGATGTCTATCATCCTATAGCACCCTCCAACTGGAACCTGCATTTCAATCAATTCACAATCACACCACGACTCAATAAATAAAAGTTTTCCTTTTTACAACAGCATTTAGAAGGAAATATATGAAAACCCATCCATATATATGATCTTACAGCTGGAGTTGCAGCTCTGTTGGTGAGAGGAAATAGTTGTGTCCCAGGCCCACCTCCCAGGATGATTGCAGCCACGCTTTTGGGATCCGCCCGACGTCTCTCCCGTCTTGTTACATCGACCGTCTATGCATTACACATTTATGGATCAAAAGCGTGGGGAAATAAATCACAACACGATGATAACAAGCATTCATAATTGGGTATGAGTTACTCATTTATTTACATGAATCAAATCACACTAAAATATTGAATCCAATGGATTGATTAGTCTAATTTAATGAAATTTTTAGGCTTGACGTATTACTAAACACTAATTTTTTTATTTTATTTCATAAGATGAATTGGTTAATAATAAAATGAAGGTTGGAGGTACTTTTTTGGCTAAACTTGTTGAGAATGAGCATTTTAGTTTTTTTATCATATTATTTTTCTTTATTAATAAAAATATATGTTTTTTTATTAACTTTAGCCATTCCAATTTCAGTCTTACTGAACACGCTCTGGTTCACCTTCATATGCTTATTCTGCTGATACGCAGAATAAACCGAATCAGGCCACCAAACTGGTTTGTAGTCTCTACTACTTCCAGGTGTGATTCTTAAAAACATACAATGAATCCATTTCTTTACTCATAAAGTTAAAGGTGTACTTCGACAAAGTAGAAAAAGTAAATGGAGATTTACCACAGTCTCTCTTCCATTTTCAGCAGTGAGAACAGAGAATGCAACCCCAGCTTTGACCTTCTGCTTCTTTCCTTCAAGCCTCAAAATTTTCCCGAACTGACCCGCAAATGAATTGTTCTTTAGACTGCCTCTGATCCTCTCTCCCCAAAACTCAGACTCTCTGGGGAAGTGGGCGTTAGACTTTAAGGTAGCACAAATGTCCATTGCAGATCACTCTCCACTGCAATAAATAAATGGGCACGAGCAGGCTCATTAGATATGCAGATTCATCACAACAATGAGATACGTTAAAAATTCAGAAACATATGAAACTAGACGTTCTGGGTGAGATCTACAAAACTACAGTGGAAAGACTTGGTTTTTACTCAGAAAATCGAGCTAAAAATATTAGGAGGTGCGCCAGATCGAGGCGACCTCAATTCCATATTTTGTTTTTGGAGCCGAGCCCTGAAGCCGCCATAAAACACCAATCTGCGCATGGGCAGTAATTTCTACGAAAATCAGTAGCCTTTGGGGTGATTTTTCATTGGAAATTCGGTTAAACACAAATCCTGTGATTAACGAATGAGGTACACCAAGAATCAGAACAAGAACCCAAGTTAATGAGTAGCAAAGAGCATCATGGCGTGAGCAACTAGGAGGAATTTTGACAAAATTTCCCAAGAGAGAAACTCTCAACTCATAGACTTGGTTTTTACTGATCATACAATGATAATCACCATTCATTCATCAAGAAATCAATAAATGGAAGTAGCTATAAGCAGGAAAGTAAGAAAGAGCAAATCAATATGAAATTATGATGCAGAAGTGAAGGACTTAAGGCCGAGTGAAGCTGATCAGGAGAACTGTGAACAATAAATGTACCAAGTTTTGAAGAGAGTGAAGCTTGAACCCAGAAGTTGATGATGGGATCTGCCAATCAAGACTTGATTTTTAGATCTTTGGGAAGTGAGATTTGGTAACGCAGAGAAGTGAGAGTGTAAGAAATGCCGTAAGTTTCTTCTCTTCCGGGTGGCGAAGTGTCGTGTAGTGCAGTGGGTGTGACTCGTGACCTTTTTCAAGAGAATTCTTCCATTCTTGATTGCTTTATATATAGCCAGGCGCCAGCCACCTAGTGGCTCCCCCACTGTATTTATTTCGTGCCTGCTCTCAGTAAATGATGTGTATTCTAACTAAACATACTCTAAGTTAATTAGGAAAATTCTTATAAGAACCGGTGAGCGTAGCTCAACTGGTAGCAAGGTAGTGCCACAAGGATTAGATCTCGGGTTCGAATCCCGGCAATTGCGATGAGTGGTTACTATGCTGAAAATGCTTAGGGCCTCTGCAAGTACCGAGGACAGAGCCCCACTCTCTATCTGTCAGATTGTGATTATAGTCCAATTTACATCCTCCCATCGTGTTGTCCGGTCGGTGTTGGGGGCCCTCAGGGATGGGGTGTCATCCTTTTTAGGAAAATTCTTACAAGAATACTCTTCCGTTATTTTCGTAATAATTTTATCTTTTGTAATCTTAGAATAATTTCACTTTTATACCATATCTTCCTCTGTTGGATCTAACCAGTTAATGACTAACTATATCAGGTTTTTTTTTTCTTTGCAAAACTTACATAAATAATCCTATTTTTCATAAAACTGCTCAAAACATTCCTTTGTTTAATTTTTCTTTTTCTCCCTATAACTTTTCTTTGTTTATTTTTATCTCTAGACACTTTTTATTCATTTTTTCATCCTTTTATTCTTATTTGTTTTCCACATTTGTTATTTTATTTCTCTCTCTATTAGGAGTATTTTTTTTTTGTAAAATGTCCTTCCCAAATAGTTTTTTATCATTTTCTTTGCTCCATGTATTTTTTTATCATTTCCTTTTTATGTGTTTCTCTTCTTAATCACTCTCTTTTTATTAAAGAACTTCTTCCCACTCTACTTTTGTTATATTTTGTTTTTATTTTCACTTTTCCCTTTTTTCTTCTTGTTACTATTGTTTTTTCTTCTTTCTTTTTGTGATCTTAATTCCACCATCAATATATTTATTCTTTTTTTGTATAATCGTATTTTTCTATGTAAGTCCACCCGTTAATTCTATAACTATTAAAAAAGCTCTATGTGAAAAAGTTTAGGGAAAAATAAAATTGAAAGAAAAATAAAACATTTGGGAAATTATAAGAAAGAAAAATTACATTTCCCCGAATGTTTTATTTTTATTTACATTTCCAAAATATTAAAAAGTTTTTCCTACAATGGATGGAATTAATGGGTTGATTTACTTAGAAAAGTACTACAATGAAAAGAGGAGATAAAATATATTGAGGGTGAAATTAAGATAAGAAGAAGAAGAAACATAAAAGAAGGTAATAAGAAGAAAAAGGGGGAAAACTAGTGAAAATAAAAAGAAAATATAACAAAAAGTAGAGTGAGAAAAAGATCTTTAATAATAAGAGAATGATCAAGAAAAGAAATGTAAAAGAGAAATAAAATAAAAATACGGGAAGAAAAAGAAAATGACAACAACAAAAAATTGTGAAGAAAATTTTACAAAAAACGATACTAATAGAGCGAGAAATAGAATAATAAATTGGAAAGACAAGCAAGAACAAAAGGATGGAAAAAAGAATAAAGTGTATATAGATAAAGATAAAGAAAAAAAATTAGGGAGAAAAAAGAAAAAATGATACTTCCAAAATATGACTAAATAGAGTTTGAAATTCCAAAATAGGACTGTTATGTTATTATCATATTACTCTATGAGAATGCCAACATTTTCATTGTGCCAACTTGATCCTTTTGACTTCTGCCAAAAATATGACATTCGTAATATTTTTGGCATTTTTCCCCCGGTGACAGGAGGTGGTAGTACTACCTCCCTGCGCCTCCGCCCGTTAAAAAAATGTCATATTTACTAAAAACTACCATTTTTCTGAAAATGACAAAATAATGGCATATTTCTCTTTGAGAATGCCAACTTGAATCATTCTGCCAACTTGATTCATTCTCACTTCTACCAAAAATATGTCATTCATAATGAATTTGGCATTTTTTCCCAGATGACTGGAGGTGGTGGTGTTGGGGCAGCAGAGGCGGCGTCGATTTTTTTTTTTTCATTTTTTTAATTTTTAAATTTTTTTTTTCATTTTTTTTAATTTATTACTCCATCCGTCCCATTGGACTTTGCCAACTTTCCCTTTTTGGTTGTCCCAAAAAACTTTGTCACTTTCCCATTAATGTAACTATTTTGTGGTTCTGTTCATTTCTCTCTCCTCTACACAAACCTCAACCACACAATTTTTACTATTCTTATTTCTCACCTAATTCCAAGAGTGCAAAGTCCAATGGGACGAATGTAGTATTATTTAAAATATTTTTATTAATTCTTTGGTATTTTTACGATTTATTATTATTTTTTATTATTTTATTATGAATTAAAACATTCTAATAGCTATAAGTAGGGGTGGTTCGGTACGGTATACCGAATATTTTCTCTCATACCTTTGTCGTACCAAAAGTTTCGGTATACAAAATTTATATACCGTTACCTTACCGAAGTTTCGGTATACCGCATTTCGGTATACCGAAGTTTCGGTACGGTAACGGTACGGTATCGGTAAATTACCATAGACTAATAAAATACACTAAATCGGTGTTACTAGCGACATATTTAATCCATTATTAAAATGTTTCAAAATACAATTAATAATAATCTATTGATGTCGTATTCAATATTGAACAATAATTATGTTTAGTATATTTAAGTAGTTCAACATGCCACATATTAAAAAGTAATACATTCTCCTAAAATAACTTGAATAAATAGATATAATTAAATCAATAGTGATCTCCAACAAAAATAAATAATTTTTTTTTCAAACAATATGGATATAAATCATTTATTCCTAATATGATTGTGTATTTAGTCATTTTATAATTTAAAAGAAATATTTAAATAAGACTTTCGGACAAAGTTGTATGTTTTGACTCGCAGAATCCCTATGCAGATACACTCGTCACACTCGTCAGCGGCTCAACCATCACGACTTGCAAGCTCTTGGGACAAGATCGACTTGTTTCTAGACATTAATACAATACTCATTAGTCATTAGTGTAGTTTATTTGAATGTTACGTAATAGAAGCCTAGAAGGTTATAGTGGGTTTGGAAAATTGGTCCTTTGTTTTTGTATTTTGATATTTGTAACCAACCTAAGTATTAAGTTTAGGCTTCTAAATTGTAATGGACTTTTATAATATTGTAGAATTTAAAGTAATTTTTGGGTAGGAAGTCGGTACGGTATTATACCGGTATACCGCGGTATTTGAAAACATTTACCGTTACCGTATCGAAATAAATCGGTACGATATGATACCGTGCTGAAAATGACGGTATACCAATATTCCGGTATTTTCCGGTATTTTTCGGTACGGTAAGTGCGGTATACCGATTTTTCAGTATTTTTGCCCAGCCCTAGCTATAAGGGTATATTTATCCAAGACACTCATAATTGGCCTATGAAAACATAGTTTATTTTTTGGTCCTATTTGTATAAAGTGAATGACTTTTAGTTCTATTTTGATAATTAACTCTAAGTTTATACCGTATTTCTAAGTTCGGAGTATATTATATTGGCATTTCAGTTTTGCGTTCAAGTATTGTTTTATATCTGTCCAACATTCCAACGGCTGTGAGAGAAAAGCACACCCTGACGGTCGACATGTTGGCAAATGACAACGTGTTGATTGATTATCAGTGAGTACTGAGTATGTAACGTGTTGATTGATTAAGCTACAATGATTTTTTGAACAATGAAAAATAAACATTTGGTTGCCATTTATTAAAAAATGTGGATGTAAAAGTACATACAATAACAATTATATGTACTGGACATCCACGTGGATGGTGCAATGAATATATGAAAGGGATGGAGCAAAAAGGGATGGAGCAAGAGAGTGACCATATCATATATACGGAGTCAATAATTAGAGCCCGTTTGGAGACTTCTTTTTTCGGCTTATCAGGCTTATCAGTCAGCTTTTTCACCAAACACGTAATTTTTACTTTTGTGTGCTGAATTGTGTAATAAGCAGAAAAAGTAAGGTTGGAGTTACTTTTCTGGCTGTATTGGCTGAAGTTACTGTAGAGGACTATTTTAGCTATTTTTACATGTAATTTTTTCTATAATTTATTAATAAAATATATTTTTAAAATATTTTTTTCTTGAATCAGCAGAATCAGCCAAAACAGCCACTTCAGCCAGAATTTCATAAATTTCAGCAGAATCAGCCAAAACAGCCGATTTTCGTGCTACCAAACGGGCTCTAGTAGTGAATTGAATCATAGTATAGATACAAAACTAATCTTAATATCGAGTTTTTTGCTAAAATAATGTTAAATAATAAAATAATTCCTAATATAAGATGTGGTTAAAATTATTTTTCAAAATACTGCTCCCCTAAACTATGGTAAGGAAAACCGTCACTCCAAGTGGCTGCTTATGTAAAGTGATATACGTAGCAAAGGATACACACGTACCAAGCAGCCAAAGGAGAACATGACATGGTGGTCCCACAAAAAAATAAAATCCCATTTTATTTTAAAAGTGATATAATTTTTTATTCATACTTCATAAAAAATAACATGATTATTATAAAAAATACACCATAATTCATAACTTTTTATTATCTTTCATATGACACCAATATTGAATATATAAAAATAAAAAATAATGTAACACTTTAAAAAATATTTTTTTTAGAAATGTTATATCTTTTTTATTTGTACTTCGATTGTTACAAAAAAATGTATCAAAATTCATAACTATTTATTATCTTTCATAAGAAACCAATTTTGAATATATAAAATTTAAAAATTAATTCTATTAATTTTGGAGTTAGGATCCTTTTTTCCGTGCACACAATTAACCAGGAGTAATAACTTAGAACAAAGCTGCGCAAACTTCATCACTTTTATTTATTGTTTTATTCTTTATGCAGTTTTATTCTAATCTGTCACACCTAGTTAAATATGTGCACAGTAAAAAACAATCCTAAACAGCACAAATTAATAGAATTAAGTATTTAATTTTTATATATTCAAAAATGGTGTCTTTTAAACTTAAATAAATAGTTATGA